AAAGAGAACACGTCAATTTTTGCATAAGCCCTGGTTTGCATAAAAGGACAATGCTGTTGTTTTTAGTCTAATTTTCCCGGAAGAGGATTGCTCCATTTCCCTTGTGTTCTCTTAGTCTATCGCTTTGTCTATAAATCTTAATAATCAGCCCGCAGAAATCGAACCACCCATGTCCATACTCTAACTGTAAAGCTACTCCAAGATGAAGTAGTTACCGCGTGGAGCGATCCGTTCTAATGGAGCAGGGAGCCTCGGGCGCACAGGGTCATCTCCGCACTCTTGGGGATGACCTTTCGATCAGTATACGCGCAGCGAATCTCAATCACAACATGATCTGAATCGATATTTATTTTATACTCTATACAAAGGAGGATGGTGTCAGCTCATCATTTTCTCAGATTGGCCCGGTAGATTTAATAGGTCGAGAGCACGTGGGCTACTATTTATCAGCTCGTTGACCTCATTTTAGGAGTCATGATTGGGATGGATTCTACTATAGAAACAGTTTATCTATTCCAGACTTTTCCGAAGAACCTTCCACATTTAACGGAAAACCAAGCAAAATTCCGACTTTAGATTTTGTGAGTATATTTTACAAACTGATTGCAATAGGCGCACGAGTCGTAAGGCAGCAAGTTGGACTTTTTTTTTAGCCAACGTGCATTGAAAAATGGTTGTCACTCGTGTTGCGCCAAACAGCGTATCTCTTTGAGGGAAAATTGTGCTCATATGAGCTTTTTCCCTCTGTGGATGAACCGATCTGTGTTGGGAAAATAAATGGCACATGCATTGTTGCTAAACTGAACCAGAAATTAGGGGCTCTATTTGAAAAATATAGTCCAACTATATATCCCAGAATTGGATTGCATTTTGCAAAAAGAAGCCATCAGTTCTGGCTCATCTTTATAAGCAGTTATGGGGAAAGTTAATGGCATACACTTTGTCTCTAAAATGAGTCAGAAATAGTGATTTATAGTTTCATTATATATCCCAATTGAGGTTCACCTCTTTTTCTATTTTTGAAAGGATTAGATAGCATGGGCTTCCTTTAAAGAAGATCTTCCTGTACCTAACTTGCAGTAACACTTGAGCTTGAATTTTGCCTAAATGATTTGAAGCAATCGCGTGAAGAAACCTCAGCGCAGCTCCACGGACAAAACCTCTAAAACCAATTGACAATAAGACCTTCAAAGGCAAAGGTAAACAAGATGGGATGCTTGTTGCCTCGAACTAGAACTTTGGCTCAGACACAGAGAATTCCTGTGGCTTAGCTCATGAAACCTAATTTGACTGCGAGTTATATTTTTTACACTTCACGAGTGAATATGACTCGAGTTAAAAAACTTTCCGCAAGCCACGCATGAGTACCGATGTTAAATAAACACATTTATGTTAAAAAGAGCTATGTGCATGGTATATGCATGCCCTCTAGCTCCTTTCAATTTAAGTAATTTCTATCTAGTTCCTTTCAGCATTAATATGCTCTAATACACCAGCCGGGGTGGACTTTTTTGGGGGTAAAAAGTTCAGAGAAGCAGAATCACACTCTTGTGCTAGGAAACTGCCGTATAAGCCTTCAAACGTTGCCAATTTACTTTTATGAATTACAAATTTTCAGAGAAGATCGCATATATTTACCCCTCTAAGAATTTCATTAGCAATTTTATCTAGTGTACTTTTCCAAAAATTTGACAGAAACTTATTCATGAATTCTTGATGATCTGCAGATTTTGGCTATCTGCACTGAATCGGTTCTTCGGACTGAAAACTTCGATTACCTGGCGAAAATTGAAAACTTGAACTCAAAGAAAGTCATTGTATACAGAATCTTTGAATTCTTGAGAATGTTTTTCTTCTCCGACTTGTAAAAATTGTAAACCATGAATATGCCGTTATTATACAGCAGAACTTTCAATTATGCTGTGAATTCCTCATGAATGTCTTGATAGTGAAAGAGATTTTGAAGGGGATCTTTCCTCCCCTATGATGTTTACAGGGGCGAGGCGTGCCTCATCGATTACCGGTGGTTTCCCATCTGAAGGTATGGTAAAGAATCGATTATAAAGGTTTCGTTGTGAACACCCTTTTTATCGATCCTTTTCTATAAGTTTGAATGGCAGATCAATCGATTAATCACAAAGCCGCCACGCCACTGGATGTTTAAGCGCCCCGGAAAAGCCTATAACTACGACACGACTGATAGTCTCGGCCTATCTTCTACTTTTTCGTCTGGACGCATAAGCTACAAAAGGAATAACAATATGAGAAAAAAACCCTAAGTCTACATTGTGATACTATAAAAAAAAAGAAATGATTAAGACAGTCCAATCTAGGCACAGAGCTGCCATGCTAAGGAAAAACGTCGTATGGTCATTCAAATGTTGTCGAATTTCCTCTCAGAAAGTATTTATTTTTCGGGAAAGTTATAATTATTTTCCTTTGAATTTTTCAGACACTTTAAATTAAATTACGAACGAAATTCTCTGAAAAATCGGAAGAAAAATATTTTTAAATTCATCGAAAAATTCGGGATCTGTCCAAGGAAATTTGTCAACGTCTAAAGGCTCATACGGGGTTCTTCCTTAGCACGGCACAGAGGTCCTCGCACCCGTATTTTACCTGAGATTTGGGCCAAAAACCAATTAGTGGAGGGAGGAGAACCGGTCTTCTCACCCTCTTTTCAACTCTCTCCATGCTTTAATTTATGAAAGGGTCACCTTCCCTTCATTGAGACACAAAAAAGAAGTAGGATGTCTTTTCTTCTGTTTCAAAGCTTGTTGGAGGAGTGTGAAATCTAATTAACTCTCTTATCAGTCCCAGATTCCCTGTGGTCCTTGTAGTTCTAGGATCTCTGTGGCGTGTATTTTGACGCGATACATAAAAAAATTCTACGAAAAATGGAATCCAGAGTCTGTTTGATAGGATGAAAATACGTTAAAAATATGAGAGTCAAGTGTATTTCATTTTAGGTGCAATGAACATTTCGTCGCTCTTCTGGCGTAAAGGCGTATCCCAAACTCTACGTGAGCCCTGTTCACCGTATACCGCTGTGCTTTCCGCGGCTCATGTGGAAGTAAAGATACGCCCTTACGTCAGAAGAGCGACGATTTTGTCGTTATCGTATCGTATCAAACTGGTCGCGACCCCGCACAGTGAGTTCGAAGTAAGTGCAAGTTAGTCTTTTAGACATGTAAACCTAAAAAAAAAACCTGTTAAGAAGCAAATATCTTACGATTTTAAATTATTGTATATTAAAAGCTTGAAATCACCACAAAATTGATTATATTAGAACTTTAAAAATACATATTACATGTATATGTATGTATGTAACGGCATTACAAACTAACGTCTTATGTAGAGGACATGGATACAATTTTTTCAGCTAAAAAGCTCCCCCTTTAAGCTCCCACACGAAAAAAGAAAAACTTCGGCTCGGGTAGAAAACTAAACTCCTCGGTCATGGGAACCGAATTCTGTCCCAGTGATCTAATTTTATGTTAGCCATAGACGCTTTTTAGTGGTGACGTCCCTGACCGAGCCTGTGTAAATATAGGTGAATTGTGACGGCCGATAGAGGCAGCACATAAGTGATTGGCACAGCACCTTAATGCAACTATTCGTGATCGAGGGATGACCATGCTGCGTGAACTCAAAATGAAGGCGCCAAGTAGACATGCGTGGTGCGCTCACACGTGTATGCGGAAGGCGTCAGATTGTTCCTCAGTTTAGAGGGCTGATCACTAGTCCTTCATCATCGCAACTCCTTATCGGTTTCATTCTTGCCCGTAGGACCGAAACATCTCACTAGCGACTTCTGAAGGCACCGCCCCCGCACGTCGCACACAGCACTCCGTAAACGCCTTCATTTTGCGTGCATGCAACACGACCAACCACTAGACACGAATAGTTGCATCCAAGGCGTTACTATCATCGTCCGTCACAAGCGTCCAAGCTGCTCTGCTGTGCTGAGGAACACCGTTAGAGCTTTCTGATGTTGCTGAATTTCCTTCGATAATATGTTCATTTTGAGGCAAAATATGAATATTTTCGACATTTTTAGAAACTGTAGGTTAAACTGCGAACAAAATTATCCGACAAATTGGAGGACAAGTATTTGTAAGTTTACTGTAGAAAATTTGAGTTTTATCAAGGAAAATTCTGCAACGTTTGACGGGTCATACGGCGTTTTTCCTCAGCGCAGCAGCACTGAGGAGCTTCGAGGAGAAGGTGCATCAGTGCAATTTTTTTTTTTAAAAAAAACTGAGGTATTAATGATTTCGACTAAAACATTAGTCCTGAAATAGATTTTGTGATAAACAAAAAAACTTCTAAAATCAAATTTCTAAGCATCAAACTTGAGTTTGAGCTTTCTTTAGCCATCAAACTCTGTATAATTTTGAAACTTGAATCTTGAAGTAGCAAAAATTGCACTCATGCACCTTATCCTCCAAGCACCTCGATTGTCCTGACCTGCGGGCTGATTATTGAAATTGATTGACAAAGCTATAGACAAAGAAGACATAGGGTGTATAGAGCGATGCTGTCGGTTGAAATGGGTGGTTCTTATCGACAAAGGGAGACAATTATAGACTAACTGTCGGGTTTCTCGTGAGTTGCCGTTAGTCAGTCTATTACCTACCTCCTTTGTCCATTGCAACCACCCGCTTTCACTAATAGGATCTCTCCATACCTCTTTTGTCTTCTTTGTCTATAGCTTTGTCTATGAATTTCAATAATCGCCCCGCTGGGCCCACAGTGCGGCGCGGCGGCGACGCGGTGGTGGTCCGTAAGGAAGGGTGATCATGTGCGCATGTGTGCGTGGTTTCGAGCCGCTTGGGACTGACAATCAGAATGAAACCAGGCGAATGGCCACCACCGCCGCACCGCTAGCCGGCGCGGGAGTGGCGGCGGGGGGCTGANGGGGGGGGGGGGGGGGGGGGGGGGGGGGGGGGGGGGGCGAGGGATAGCGTAGCCGCGGCCGCGGCCGAACCAGGTAAACCTTTGCCTCGGCAGTAATTATCAATCTCTGCTCGAGACAAGACGGCAGTGTGAGTGCGGTGTTCTTGTTTACCTGTGACCTGCGATCGGTCTCTCGTCATCGCCAGTGATAGCCCGCAACCATGGTGTTACTCTGACCGTCCCGAAAATCTCGACGAAAATGTTCCCCGACGCAGTGCCCGAGAGCCGAGTTCGTGTCGACATGAGTTCGTTCCTCGGATCCCTGTAGTTTAGCCCCCTCCGCGAGGTTTTTCACCCCGATTTTGGGGAGTGTTCAGTGCTGTTCTTTCAGTTCTTCAGTTTCCTTGCCCGGATTTTCCGAAAGGATTTTAATCGCAGTTCCTCCTAGAATTTTTTAAGGTAAGCATGCGACATGGAACACTGAATGTAGTTTTGAAACTGTTAAATTAGCAGCCCCGGCTAGGGGAGAATTTCAGCACTCTGGAGGACGGTTTGATGATCGACCCTTCAATTGATAAATTCTGGATTCGAGGACATTTTATCATGACGCCACATCACGCTGACGTGTGGAAAGTATGAGAATTGATCGAGAGATACTTCAAAACAATCCCTAAAGTACGTCGACTCGCGTGATATTCACTAGAGACGAACTTTTGGAGTTATTTCAAAATGCCTCTCGATCAAAGCTCGTGTACGAGTGAACACCTGACGTCTGATGTACTCAGCGTGTTGTGGTGATCAATAATTCTCGGAAATAAAAACAGCAACAAAATGCCTAGAATTTAGAAAGCGGGAAGAACCTTCCCGATTTTTTTCACGTATGAACCTTCGGTCAGACTACAAATAAGCGCAATGCACTTCTGTTAGTGTTCAAAGATTAGGTATGATTTCCTCGATGTCTTTATCGAATCTTTTCATGAATGCCAAACTGAAGACTTAAAGACTGTTATGACGATAAGCAGAGATGAGAGTTATCGATACGTCGCGCCGCTAGTGATTTCTTTCGTGTCCTCACAGGTATCGGTCCCACACCTAAAATATTTCCCACGAAATTTTCCGGTCGGAAGTTTAGTTACTTCGTGGCTCGTGAACTACTCGGCGTTACGCTGCACTGGGGCTAAAAAAAAGTGAAAATATTTAATTCACATTCATCAAAATTACCACGTGTCATTATCCCTGGTACTACCGCTGTTTCGTAGGTATTGTTCTAAAAATGTAGTAATTGCTTCAGAGTAAGAATTTAAGGCACATGAAGCTTCCGCATACTACTGTTCAGATACATTTTTACACAAAAATAGGATTCTAAAAACATCTGACCGAGTTAAAGCTAAAATTTTCACTGATCTACATATCTAAGTGCTACATAATCACTCATTCTCATACATTTTTGTGCCGATATGAATTTCGTGGACGACAAGAGTGAGCCATAAAACAGAAAAAAACTTCAACCTCCAAGCGAATGGCGGTTTCAGCCGCAGCGCTACAAAAAATAAACTCTAAAATCCGATCATTACCGCATCTGTTTCGATTAGAATCATAAATACTGAAATGTCTTCGGACTCACTCGAACATAATGAAACCGTGTGGCTATTATTTCGTAAACCACACCCTTGAACATGGAAAACTAGTCTTAATTTTCAGTCCTTAGAACGAGAGGCTTAAAAGCTGTGATGACCGAAAAGTTTTCCAAAAAAGGATCAATTTAAAACTACGTGATTACTTTTGACTTTAATCGGAAAATGAGGTATTTTTATAACTAGTCGGTTAGGTTAGCGTTCGCATCGAACCTTAATACTTGCAATTAGATTGAACCATTCTATCCGTAAAAATTAAGACGGGCAAGTGCTCAAATTATCTTCAGGTTGATTATTGAAATTGATAGACAAAAAAGACAAAGAGGAAATGAAGTGATAGGTGCTTGATTGGGATGGACAAGGAAGGAAAGTAATATGTAGATTACAAGCAACGCACGAGAGATGATAGAATTAGTTCATCATTTTCTCATTTTGTCAGGACCACCCGTTTCAACTCATTAAATCGCTCCATAAGCCCTTTGTCTTCTTTGTCCATCGCTTTGTCTAAAAATGTCAATAATCAGCACATTCCGTCAGTGCGCTCATTGTTGCTGTGGCAAAATAGCCAGAGTGCCTTCAAATTTTCGTGTATACAACCTTGACATCCGCTAAGCACGTATAGTTGTATCCAGGCGTTAACATTAAGAATAGCACATGGACATATAATAGACGAGGGATATAGATAAAAAGTTTGTCGCCCATGGTATTTTTTATAGGACGTTATTGAGGAGTTCGTGACTTGTTCTCGATTTTCCATCAGGAAAAATGAATAAAAATAAAAAAAAATGTTTAAAATGCTAATATATTGTGATGTACATCACCACAATTTATTTGATTTTCCCCGGGATTTTCTCCTAGCCTGACGTGAAAATTCACATTTCCCTCCCGTCTTGGTATTCAATTATTTATCAGAGTTAATGTATATCCTTTGCCCTTAACACCAAATAAGATTAAAAGCATACACCAGCCTTACTTAATATTCAGCTTTTCTGTTTTCCGCCACGGTTACGGAAACTGATGAAATTAGTATCTGTTCCATTAAATCCTGCGATTCGATGGTGTTATAACAGTTTTTTTCATGAACAATTTATTTTCGTCTTTTCCGAGGCGCAAGAAAAGGAATTTGTACGAGGTAAAAGAGCGAAAATTCAACACGAGTAGATTTGCGCACTGCACAACAATACATTTCATGATGTACATAGCAAAGGTGTTTTTCGTTTCCCTTCACTTTTCTTACTCTCTTCGCGTAGTGATTCACTTTCAAATGGTGTTGGTATTTTTTTTATAAATCTCATGAGTTGTGATACTATTTGTTGCCCAGATTAAAATAAGAAGAAGAAGAGAAAAAATACGCGGAATCAAACAAAAGAGGAATGACCACATACTTTCCCGATTCCTTGATTTCGGCGTGTTTTCCACTTTGTCTAGAGAACACAAGGTGTTCCATCGCTCGAGCGCTTTTGGACACTCCTTTTGCACTTATGCCGTACTAAGAAAAAACGCCGTATGAACACGTGTGCATTGCTTTGGCAACGCACACGTGTTGATCAAAATTTGACGGCCCGCCCAATTTAGATCAAAGAGGACTGTTGCATGGTGACCATCAGTCATCAACCGGTCTACTTTGATCAGAATTTGTTCGGAATTTGATCGTGTATCCAGACCTGTTACAAGCTCTATGAAATTTTCAAACAGATTCAACCAAAAATTTCCCAGTAAAAAATAAAAAGGCGGCGGTAATTTTTAAACGTCGCATGGCGTTTGTGATACTTTGACCGGAAGGTGATGATATCCTAAACATAAAGTTAAAAGTCCCATCACATCCGAGTTTGTTAGACCATGGTTCAAGGAATCAAGTTGACGTATCCACCTCGGCATGGACAACTATAAGATGACGTCATTTTCTCCCTGGTTCGGGGCAGACAGATGATGTATGTGTTTCCCTCCTTGGCGCTTCTTTGTCCCGGTCTCGTGGTTGTGTTTGCTCTCTTTTGTTTACCTAGCGTGATTCATAGCGAGCGTATGCAGGAGGACAGGTATAATAGAGAGATGGCGTTGTTTTTATGTTACATCCAAACCGTGAGACCTCTTCCTAGACACCGCGATGCTGGATTCGTCTCGTTGATTGTGCGACGGGGGAGAATAATTCAAGCGTGCTCGATCCCAAACCACTTAGCGGCCTCATAAAGTTTATGACAAACAAGAGGTGCCTCTTATTCGCCTGTGATTACTTTCCGGGAGCCTACGCACAATGCGCACAATGTATGTCTGTGTTGAGGCGTGGAGCGAAAAATTTTCGCGGTACCCCTCGCTGACGCACAGTAGATCGAGTCAGTGGGAAAGGTCGGACAAAATTTGGAAACTTTAAACGTTCATAACTACTCCGTTTATGCGAAACCTTGAGGATGTATAAGTGGTTCCATTTGTTTCCTCGTGAAATTTTCTCTCAGACGCACCCCTTATATTGAAAAATGTGCCGAAATAAACATAAAAATTTACGTTTTTAGTACAAAATTTCATGTCCGACCTGTCTAACTGGCTCGATCCACCGTGCGGCGGTCCGTTCCTCCTCGTTGTAACCGATTCAGGCAGAAGTTTCTGTCCAGGACCAAATACTTTTTTCATATCTAGGGTGATCCAAAAGCCCCCTCCCCCTGTTAAGTTTTGAAGGGTTGTACTTGAGGGTTTCAAATTTTGGGTATATTCTTCGCTCAATTTCAGCTAGCTTTTTTGAACTTTTTATCTGAGCGCGTTAAGTGGAGAGGAACCAGGCCACATCAGCTATTACCAAATATAATCGGGTAATTTAATTTTTTACATGAACGGCTGTGCGGATTTTCATGCTAATTTCAGTGAATTTTCTGCATTGTGCCAAGCAAATTTTTTAAACTTTTCAGAAGGAATCCGCGCAAACGTTCTTTTGTAAAAAAAAAAAAAATAAAAAATAAATCGCCCAGTTAAATTTGGTAATAGTTGATGTGGCTTGGTTCCTTTTTGCTAATCGGGGTCCTGCTATTTTTCTGAGCGGCGAATACACCCAAAATTTTAATCTTTTAGTGCAACGGTTCAAAAGTTTCAGAAAGGGTCCGGACTTTTAGATCACACAGTAAAATACTCTACGTATGATAGTGCTCTTTTCGATAGCCTAACCCGATAAAATATGAGAGGAGAGCTCCCGCTCTTCAATGTCAAGAAAAGAACACTGTATGAGCCCTGGAATATTGCCAAACTATCTAGGATAAAGGGCGATTTTTGGGGGAAACTTGTTAATTTTTTTCATTGAATTTTATGGAAAATATATTTATATTTTAATCAAGCGTACGCAAGAATTTCGAAAAAAACTATTCATAACTTCTCGTAAAAATGGTTCTTTCACAGAGAGAATGTTGGGGAAATTCGAATCCTGATGCGACGTTTACCATCGAACGGCAGTAAAACTTTGGCCTGCTCAGAAAGAGCGCATTATGTAGGAGGAAAATATGCGTTTATCGCAGGTCGTTTTATTTTGAATTCTATCTCCCTGCGATGAAAGGAAAAGCATTGTGCCAAAATATAACAAAATCGATATATCATCGTGTGAAAAGTGAGGATAAACACGTGGCCGGTCTATAAGACGCCATGTAGTCGAGTCAAGGTCAAAGTCGATCCTCTCTGAGAGCCTATTCGTCATTTGCACTGTGTCCTTCATTAGCAGGGCTAATCCCTACTGTGTTGTGGAGAATTCTACCCGAGGCGTAGAATTTCACGGTTTACCGCTATTCTGCATATCTTGTAAGAATTTGAGCTATTTGCGGGTTGAAAGAAAACGCGGGAACCTCCGGGGAG